AGACATAAAAATTCTGCATTGTAGAAAAGATACTCTACACACAATTTTTTTAAGTACAACTATGGAATTCTTTTAATATAAAAAATAGTCACCGACTACAGACAATATATGAGAAGTGCTACTTAAATCTGCCTTCCAAAAAACAGCCAAAAATCCAAATGGCCAAAAAAAAAGGTTTGGTAAACTTTTAAATTCGCGTATGATACCAGAAGCCCACCATGGATTTTATAAAAATATTTTGGTTTAAGATGATATACGAGAAGAGGACAACAACTAACAGAAAATGTGTCTACAATTTTTAGAATTTTCGCCATGCAAAAGTGTTGTAACTTTAAAATTCTAATACTAAATGTGTAGTGATTAACAATTTTCTCCGTGCAAAAGTATTGTAACTTTGAAATTCCCAAGTTTTTACCATTAATATTATTTTATTTAAATTTCTATTTTTGGTTAATGTAATATAGGCTGAAAAGCATGCAAAATCATAATTAAATGTTAATTTTTCTTAAAACTTGTGTCCTATTTCATCGATATTAGCACGAAAATAAACAAAATCGTCTTTATCTCAAAACTTACTTATTCTGACTTAATGCAGTCTTGCACTAAGAGTGCGATATGCTAGTGTTTGTTGTGAGAAATATAATTTATCTTATAATGAGCTTCCACAATTAATTTTAAAACGCAGGTGTTATACAAAAATGTATCTTTTAAACAGCTTCAAAATATTATTCTAGCTAATCATTATTATAGATAGCGGAGATAACTACATAACACACATATTTTATACTATTAAAAAGGATTTATCGCAATGAGATAATGAATAAAACCATTTGACAATATTTAAATAAATGCAAGGTTACTCACACAGAATGCTTAAACAATTACACGAAATAATATCTAGCAATGTTAATATAACATAATTTTTTTTATTATGCTAGTTTATTTAAAATTGGATTATTTTACGCTTTTTAAACTATAGTTTTGACGTGCTAACGTAACTTAACGTTACGTGTTAAATTTAGAAGATAATTTTCCATTCGTGATAAAGGAATTGTAATTGATTAAATACAATGGAAATAGGAAGTGGAAATAAGAAAAGTCCTTGTTTTATGCTTTTTTAAGCCTACTTAAGGGTAGGGAATGTTTTGGAAGAGTTGAGGTAGTAAGATGGCAAAGGTTGTAGAGATGACGTTCTAAAGAGACTGTTTTCTTTTCTGTTAGCTTTGGAAGGTTTTTTTTTGGAAAAGAATAAGACTATTGCTTCGATATTTTTTGGTCTTTTTGTAATAATTGCGTGGGGGGAGCTGTAGCTATATCCCCACTTAGCAGGTACTATTGTGAAATAAGTTCGTGAAACCATAGAAGACCAATAACTTGTATCATTATACAAGTGAAAAAACAATGTATGACGTAAATGGTTTCTCATTATATTTTGACCCCTTACTTATTTTCCTTAATTTCGGAAATAAAAAAAAAAAGTTTCAAATAAAAGTTGTATTATTTTATCTGCACCTACCAACAGTCTAGCGACAGTCCAAATTTTGTATACAAATAGTGCGCAATAAAATGCATCTTCAATATTTCAACTGGAACACCCTGTATTATACTATATTTACTATACTATAAAGATATTTATTATTACGCACAACAGGTCGTTAAGGCCTAGGGAATTTTTTTATACATATTCCTAATATTAACTAATTACATTTAATTTAAACAAAACTTTAACTTAAATATGGATATACAACATTCTTAACTACTCTGAAGGACCTGGTGGACAATATTTCTCCATTCGCTTTTATTTTGTGCTTTTCTTTTCCAATCCTCCTCCTTCACGTGTTCTCCACCTCGTTCTGGGTCTACTTCTTCGTTTGGGGCAGATTAATTTCTGGTTATTACTAGTTTAGGCATTCTGTTTGCTGCCATTCTTTCCACATGTCCCAACCATCTGATTCTTTGTGACTTGACGAACTTGGTAATGGGAGGTTCTTTGTATAAAGCCATTAATTCATTGTTGGTTCTTCTTTCCCAACCATCTCGTGTCCGTCGTCTTCCGAATATGCGTTTCAATATTTTCCTTTCTCATCTTTCCAGAGTATCCTCTTTCTTCTTATGTAATGTCCATGTCTCACCGATATATGTTACTGAAGGTCGAATTACTGTTTTATATATGTCTGAGTATACCTTGTCTAGAAACGTATTTTGAGTTCAGTAGGACTCTTAAACTACCTAATTTTTTATTCCCTTTTGCTACTCTGGCTTAGAACTCATTTCTCCCATTTCTCCTTTCCATTTTCATAAAAAACTACACCCAGGTATTCAAATTTGTCCACCCTTTTACAACTATAGCTTTTACCACTTACAGACCCCACACTAACTGACCCCACTTTTTTCCTTTCTGTCCCTCCCATGATTATATATTTGATTTTGTCTTCATTTAGTTCCAATCTGAATTTCTGTGCTTCTTTAATGATTTTCATCACAACTCTTCTTAGTTCTTTCTCGGTTTTTGCTAGGATCGTTAGATCGTCGGCAAATTCCAAGCACTGGTGATCATTTTTCATGATTGTTCCTTCCACCTTCATGCTGCATTTTCTGATTACAGTTTCTATGAATATTAATAAGTTGAATAATGTAGTGGATATCTCCCTGTCTCAAGCCTTTTGCAACCGTAAATTGATCTGATATGTGACCCTGCCAAGCAAATTTCACACGTAGAGTTATTTAGTGTCATTTTAACTAGCCGGGTCACTTTCTTTGGTATACCCAAATATTCCGTTGCTCGATACATTTTGACTCTATCGACTCTATTATATGTTTGTCATAATGTTTATAATATGATGTTTATAACAAGTCGTTTATATCTCCTTTAATGAGAAGATTTGATCTACAGTAGATCTGTCCTTTCTAAAGCCGGCCTGATACTCATATAGGATTCTTTCCGTATAGCAATTTAGTTTATTTCTCAATAATCTTGCCAAGACTTTGTATACCGTGTCTAGTAAGGCTATAATACTTCTATAGTTGTCACACTTCAGTTGGTCTCCTTGTTTATGCAGAGGGCATATGCGGGCCTCATACCACTCCGATGGCATTATTTCCTTTTGCCATACTTGCATTAGTAGTTAATAAATTTTTCTTTATAGTTGTTCTCCACCAAACATAATCATTTCTATGCATATGTCATTTTTACCAGGACTTGTGTTATTTTTAATTTCTTGTATTGTTGTCACCACCTCCTCCTCTGTAGGCTGCCTTTCAACTATCGCATCTTCTCCAACCGTCCAGTTGTCTAGTGCTTCGTGCTCCACCTCACCAGTTAATAATTCTTCAAAAATGTTATTTCCATTCCGTCATTATTTCTACCAGATCGCTAATTAAATTTCCGTCTTTACCTTTCATATAAGTACAGTGGCTTTGATAACTTTTTCCCATCTTTTTAGCTTCTTGATAAAATGACCTCACCTCTTTGTTTTTAAACTTCTCTTCTATCTTTTTTAATTTCATCTCATTGTGGTGTCTCTTTTTCCTTTTACACAGAGCCTTCAATCTTCCTCGACTTATTCTATATTCTTGTTTTTTACACTCTCTATTATCTGTTATTATTTGTTGTCTGTTCTTCTTCTTTTCCTTTGCTATCGCCTGACACTCTTCATTAAACCAATCTTTGTTTGTACTTTTTTTTAAGTCTCACCTAACTATTTTCTCGCTAGCTTCTGCTACGGTGGATTTAATTTGTTCCCAGGCTTGATCTGTTTGTAAAGTTTGAACACATTGTTGTAGAATTTTATTTATTTTTTCTTTATACTTATTTTTTTATTTCTACTTGCTCTTAAGTTTTTCAATATTGTACTTTATCTTCGTTTTATTGTTCTATTTCTCTTTCTCTTCCAGCCTCCTCCCACTTGTGACTTTAACGAGGTAATGGTCCGATTCAATTTCAGCTCCTCTCATACTTCTTACCTGCTGAACGATATTTATATATTTACTTTCAATCATAACATGATCTATTTGATTCACCGTCCTTGTGTCTGGGGAGACCCACGTACCTTTATATATATATATTTTTTTGTTTTAGTTTTGTGCTTCTAACCACCATGTTTTTCTCCATGACAAATCCAATAAGTCTTTGACCATTATCGTTTGTTACTTCGTGTTTACTGTAGTTACCAGTTACTGCAGTGTACAGAGGTTCTTTTTCCACTTTAGCATTACAATCACCCATTATTATTTTTACATCACGTTTAGGTAGGTGCTAGTATTCATCATTTAGCTGTTCATAGTAAAGATCTTTTAAAAAATCTTAAAGTTAAAGAAAAAAATATACTTAGAAAGTCAACAAAATTATTGACTTACAATACTACATTTAAGATAGAATACTACATTTAAAATAACAATAGATGCTCAAAGTTTCCTCCATTAGTATCAATGCACAAGTAATATCTTCGTCTCAAATTTTCTAATGCGCAGATATTGTGTTATTATAACCATTTCAATTTTCAATTTTTGCACGAACTTTTGCCGTGATAGGGTTAATATTTGTATTTGAATCAAAATACCTGCACTTTTTAAAAACCCCCATAAAAAGCTATCACATGGTGTTAAGTCGGGACTATTTGGTTACCATGTAATGGTACCCTTATTTAAATTAATTATTTAAATTTTCTTAAACGACTACGACATTATGTAGCGGTGCTCCATCTTATTGCTTAAACTTGTCCTAAACTTGACAGTTTATAATAAATTAATAATTGTTTCATTTTGAAATGTCCGTTGCACAGCCACCTATAGTTACCCTTTTGTAATACCATATGCCATTATAGAACAAAACTAATGCTACACAATGGTATATATTGGTAATTAAGAAATGCAGGGTGTTCTATTTGAAATATTGAAGATTCATTTTATTGGGCACATATGTATGCCAATGTTATAAAATGTACCAAAATTACAATTTTTTACATATATGCTAATAAAATATTAATATTTTTATGTTTCAGGGTATAAAAACCTAGATAGACATGTTGGATTCGATTTGACTACAACCAAACTTATTTTAAAAGATTTGGCAAAGTTTCATGCTGCACCTATGGCAATGAGACTAAAAGATTCTGAAGAATTTGCCACTATCATTAAAAAGTTGTCTCTTTTACTACCACCCAAAGAAAAAGATGAAGCACCGCCAAAGATATTTGAAATATTGACAACAGAATTAAACAAGATTAAGAAATATAAAGCAGCTGAGGCTTTCGGCAAAATGCTGGTCGAATTTAAGAGAGTCATGGATGACAACCCAGAAAGTGTATTTAATAATAAACCTATTAAAGGATTTTCGACAATAATACATCATGATATGTGGATCAATAATACAATGCAAGTTATCGAAAATGGTACAGCAATTAAAAATAAATTTGTTGACTTCCAGATGTGTCAAATTGGATCACCTACCATCGACCTGATTTTTCTTCTGTTTAGTAGTGTCGAACTCAGCTGTCTTCAAAGTAATCTAGATAACCTTATTGAATATTACTATAACGAATTCGTAGATATACTAAAACATCTGGATATATATATACTGATGAATATTCATATCAGAAATTTTTGGAAGAAATTAAAACTGAAGGTAGAGAGGGGATGATTCAGGCGATTTTTATGATACCAACAGTTATTTTTGCAGAAAAAGGAAAAGCAGCTCAACCTGGAGACTCTAAGATTACTATCGAAGATATACCTGAGATAGCACTTAAAAAGCTTATACTTTTGTGTGAAGAAGCTGCTGAAAGAGGTTGGTTTTAATAGTATTTTTTGAAATAAAGTGATTTATTTTAAATACTTTTTTAAATTTATTTTTATTTACCTATTTTATCATAAATGTCATAAAAATCATTGGTTACAGGACTCCTTCTATTCTTATTTCTTCTCTTTGGTCCAGCATATTTCCAGTTCAGGGTTGTTCAATTTTTCACATCCGAAAACTTATGTTACATTATTCGGTGTATTAATTCCTATTATTCTTAACTTCAAGATTAAAAATCATTACCGTAATCCAACCCTAAGTAATAATTTCTACTCCAACTCTAATCTCACCCTTAAGAAATGTTATAAGCTGTCTTTGACTACGAGCAGGCTTCAAATCCAACAAACCAAATGATAATCAATACAAACCCAACCACCAACAGTAACATATCTTACACTGGTGCAGTAAAATCAGCACCTAGACCAACGTTCTCAATAAAGGATCAGGCCGTGGTTCTTTATATTGAGAATAGTTTAAATCTGTACGACTATGTACATGCAATCGGAACTATCATTGTGGGCAAGAGAATTTGCTTCGCATGCAGGTTATCAAATTATAGTCTATGTATTTACTTATCTTATTGTGAACTTATCGAAAAATTGATAAATTCTCATCCATTTATTCAAATTACTACATTTTCACTAAATATTCGGAGGCTTATTATATCTCCAACCTAAAAGAATTTCAATTGTATAACCTTTTATTCCTCATCATCTAGCTAAAAACACTATAAAAAGTCTTGGCTCACAACTAGCATCCCCCATATCGTTTCTCAAAGTAGGTATCCCTGGAGATGAATGTTACCATATTTTAAGCACCAGGCGCCAAGTTTATATATTTTCCTCTTCTGATAGCTACGAACTACAAACATCAAGAACTATTCTATATAATGGTAATGAACATAGAATATTTTTTTCGACAGATAGAATGAAATAATCTGCAAATACCTGCAATAATCTCCATCTTCCAGTCTTCCTACACAGTCAGATATCCAAGCTCCCATTTCTAATAATAAACCTAGCACGAATTTAAATGAAAGCGTCCAATCATCTCAAGACATTCCAGTAATAGGCCAAAAAAGACCTCCTTCGGAATCTTGTCTTTCTACAACTCCGTTAGCTGAAACCTCTGAAATGCAACCGCCTTATATCCCCAATGAATTAAGTAAAAAAAACGATCCAAAAAGAAGAGGCGAAAAACGGATGATACTTGTATCTCCGATATTACTAAACTTGACATTATCGAATATTATAACAAAATTTCACAAAAAAATAAAGGGAGCAGTGACCCCTACCATGAAGCCATAAACACTCAATAAACTCCTTACCAATTTGATTTCCTTCTACCCTCGCCTTTCTCAAAGAACAATAAAAAACAGATTCATACGACTAATGAAAAAAATAAGACAGCAATGCAATGTTAAATCTGAAAAAATAACGAGATGTGAAATTACTATATCTTTCACAAACAGATGCCAGTGACGATGAATATTACTCTGATATGTCCTACACCTTTCAAAACTCTTTAATATAATTTTAATCGTTACATTTCCGTAGCTGTCTTTTCTTATTTTTGTATCATCTTTCTCTTTAGTACAATGTAATTGTGATTTTACATCCGTCTAGAACGCATCCAATAACTCATCCAAGAAACCGCTCCAGATCTTCTTTGTCTACAAGAAACAAATTTGAAGGAAACCCAAAATTCGTACCTAAAAAATTATAAAAGCTATCATCAGATTAGAGCCACATCTCTACGCAGAAGTGGTGGTACTTCTATTTTTGTATTGTCAAATATGTAATTTCGAAAAATTTAGCATCACTTTTAATTTAGAGGTCGTGACTGTTTCCCTCTGTTGTCCTCATAAAATCACCATTTGCACTATCTATTTACCGATCAAAAGGGCTAAATAATACAGAAATTTCTAGTTCCTTAAGACATAATTATAATATAATATCGTATTAAAATGGTAATGATAATTATCCAGTACGACAGCACATTATTCTTCTTCCTATACCGTCCCCATTAACGGAGGTTGGCGATCACATTTCTAAAAGTTTGTCTGTTTTTTTGCACCGTGGAATAATTCATCTACAGTCATGTTTCTGCAGTCTTGAATATTTTGCAGCCATGACTTCCTCTTTTTACCTATTCCCTTTTTGCCGTCGACTCTACCCTGCATAATGACCTGCAGAACACTATATTTAGCGACAGCACATAGGATGCTGAGAGTATGTGATGTTTCTAACAACATTACTGACACCATTATTTGCACAACCACAACTTATTTAAGGCCGATCCTCGCGATTCTGGGCATACGTAAATTCCAATGTAAAAGTTTATATCAAATAACGCAAAAACTATGGCAGATATTGAGATGATTCTTTTTTTATATGGAAGGTCTAAAAAAGTTCTAGTGCACTATTTGGTTGTAAATTAATAAATTGTTTAAACAATATTTTTTTTTTAAATATTTTTGGTTAAAATAAACGTAAAAATTTTTTTTTTTGAAATAGGGCACTACAGAATTTGACCCACTTTCCGAATCTGTTTTTATTTTTAACATAAAGTGTAACACAAAGCAGCTATTTGATATAAACTTTTAAAAAATTTCAAATTTCTGCTAAATGCAATTTTCTCTCCGTCAGCACAGGGTGTCCTTGTCGGTAGCTTTTGGATTCTCGCCAGGTAGGTAAAACCCTCGGAGGAGGATAAATAAAGTTGAATAACATTATTAGGGCTCATTTCGACTTTTGACAAACCAGTGTGTTTATTGTATTTAAAATAGGAAATTTTATATAAATAAGCAGTAAGTACCTATAATTTTATAAAAATTTTATATGAATAGAAATATTTTCTGTTGATTTTCCATTTTCCTTCTAAATATTTATACTGTTTTTATAATAATACAATTGTTTCAGTATTTGCTTATATAATAATAATTTATTATATAGAAACAGCGTAGAGTTTTGGTCAATCATCCAGTACATTTTTTTTTTGTATTTCAATCAGAATTATTATTTCCTTTTCTTCTTTACATGAGCTCAGAGTAATAACCAAATATTTTGCAGTATTTGAATATGAAATTTAATTATTTATATTTATTGCTCAGCAACCTACCAATCGTAAAATCAAATACTGCTCAAAGAAACAATGTACAGTCTCGGAACCGGATTGATACTATGAAGACGACTACGGCAAGAAATAAGGACAAGCGAAAAACATCCAAAACCCAGATGAGAACTACTTTGAATATCAGATCACTCAACTCAAGGGACCAAGAAATAACCTAAGTGTTGAAAGAGAAAGAAATAGACATTTGTGCTCTACTGCAAACAAAAAATAAAGGAAAAGGTCAATCAAAATTAGGTGAATACATACTAATCTACAGTGGAGTAGCAAAAGAAAACAGGGCCAAAGAAGGTGTAGCCTTACTAATACACCAAAGGTATCAAAATTACATCAAAGAGTGTCAATACATATCAGAAAGAATAGTAACATCAAAGATAAGAATGAAGAAGGAAAACCTGAACATTATCGGAGTATACGGCCCAGAAAATAATAAGCCTCAAACAACAAGGGAAGTGTTTTACGACCAATTACAACAAGTAGTAGATCAAGTCAAAGAAAAGATGATAATTCACAGCTAATTTGATTATAATAATTAGGGAACCTCATTTTTTGCCATGTTAAGGAATAGGATTTGTATTTTTTGTTAAAAAATTTGCACAAACATTGTACCTTTACAGGACCCTCTACGAATTTTTAAAAATGTAGTTCAAATGGTGACTAGGAAGAACCTACAAATCCATACCGAACAAGCAATTTCAAACTAATAAAATTTTCTATATTTTCGGATCTACTCAATGGATTTTGATCATTCTTTTTTTTAATTTGTATGTAATTTCTACGTACATTAGAAATTAGTAATTTGTTTATATATTAATTAATTAATAAATAGTCTAGTTTGTTTAAACAATTCGTGCAAAACAATTTTCTTCCAAAAATCTATTTTTTTTAATAGTAGTATCAATAATCATAGAAACAGTCGCGTTTTTTGCATTAAATTGTCAATAATTCAAAAACAGCTCCAGATTCAAGGCAAGAAACAAGTAGGTTTTTTTCCTAGAGGTCTACAATAACTAAAAAATTTATCAGCGACCTGGATTATTGAGTGTCACGAACATGGTCTATTTTTTGCTTATTTCCCTGGAGTATATATTTGATTAACATCTGTGTAATTTCTTTGTCGCTTCCTTGCTGGTTTTGCACATTGCTATGATAGCAATATCTTCGGTAAATGTTGCAATTGTATATTTTCTAGGACAATAATACAACACGTATACAAAAGGTAAAGACACTTCTTTGTGGCAGCCCTGCTGTAATATCTGTCAATTCCATGTATGTTTCTTCCTGTTTAATTCTGAAATATCTTTCCAAGATGCAGGAGTCAATTATTTGAGAGGATCGTTTTGGTAAATGTAGTCTTAGTTTATAGTTTTGGCGTCTTTGCCATACTTTATCATATACCTGAGTCACATCTTAAATTATTGATATAAGGTTGAATGCTCGAATAAATGAACTTTAAAAAATGAAGGCAAATTTCGAGCACAAATTTAATAATCAAATCTTGCCCAAGTACTTTCGCTTTCTACAGCATCATCAGGGTCATCTGCGCTTGCTGGATAGCCCAAATTTGACGAAGTAAGTCTAAAATGTTAATCACAAAAAACTTTTATCATCCATTAACTTCGAGTTTTTTATCAAAGTTTATTAATTTTCTTCATTTAAAAAAAACTTTTCTTGGCTTATTTCAGATGCCCCTGATGATGCTGTAGAAAGCGAAAGTACTTTTGCAAGATTTGATTATTAAATTTGTGCTCGATATTTGCCTTAATTTTTCAACGTACATCCTAAAACGTCCATCATATTATCCTTCATGATCCATATTTCACATCCATATAAATAGTTATACATTATATTTCATC